ACGATCCTTTCATCAAATATCCTAGATATGTCATTAAGTATGACTCGGTGTTTACTTATGACATTCCATATTAGTACTCATAATTCATGACTAACCTTATCAATTTAAGAAACTAACTTTCCTTAAATTCATCATGCTTTGGCCAAAGACTTTATATAAGTTAATCAAGAATTGAGAACAAGTGAGATGCATCCTCTCATATCACTTGGGGTGATGAATCCTTTATTGACCACTTATTCACCTTCACATGCTTCATGGCATACCCAAAAATACCCTACTTAGGCATTTGGTTGCTTCCAAACCCGCAGGGGTGAAATCAAAATATGTCATTGCCCATACAAGATGACCTAGTGTCTCAAGTTTAAGCACTAGTTACACAACTATCACATGAAAACATTTTTCATAGACATTTGAGTGAAATATCAAATGGAGTTCTCATAGCAGGTCTGTTCAGTGAACTTGTTCTTTAACAAGCACTTACATGTTATCCTCAAGTATCCCATATACTTCAATTTATGAGATCATTTGCTTATTTCCCAAGTAAGATTGCTTATGATATCCCATATACTCACCATTAGTCTACTTTACAATAAGATTAAAATCTCCATGAATGCAAAGATTGCTTACTCCAATCGTTGCTGTCACATACAACCCCAAAACTAGTGCTTCATACTCAGCTTGATTATTTGTGCATGGGAAATCTAGCTTGAAAGCTAAAGAGATAGGTTCTCTACCTGACTCTAAGAAGTTTAACTCTAAACCTGAAATCAAAAAGTTTCCATCTTTATTTGATGCTTCCAAGACATGAAGACCTTTTCCCTCCAAAGAGACATGACATCTACTCCAATGAGAGACAGTTAATTTAGGACTTTGTATCAAAGAGTTATCTTCTTTACTCGGTGGAATGAGAACTATTCCATCACCTCCTCCAAAACTATTTGAAGAACCATCAAAATATAAACTCTACTCCCCTTCTTCTATATTTACTGCATATACTTCTTCATGAAATTCAACTAGAATGGCATCAGGAATAACTTCTTCAAATTGAGATGGAAAATAAGCTAACAAATCTGAAAGTGCTTGAGACTTGATAGCTTTTGGCTGAATAACTGATATATCAAACTCTCCCAATAAAAGAAGCCATTTTGTTATTCTT